GGTTTTGTAAATCAGATTATATAAGCATTCTCTTTTTGCACTCATTTCAGATCTAAATCCTATTTGAAGACTTGAGAAAACAATCATTTTAATCAATGATTCCATAACTAAAATAAAAGTAAGAAGATTTAACTGAAGGCCTTCAAACAAAAAATGCGAACTAAGTGAATCAGGATCTGTAATAAATTAAAAATTTGGGGTAATTACTCACAAACGTACAAATTTATGCACAAAATGATGCAAGAAATCATTCTAGAGAGAGAAAGCGTGAGAAGGATGGGAACACCATCAACAACCCTCCTCTCTCTCTCTCTCTCTCTCTCTCTAAATATTTTTTTCTCTTTTTCCCACGCTATGAAGACACGAATTGATCAAAACCCATAAATGCTTGTGCTTTATTCGTGTGAATAAGTAATTTTCAAAGCACAACCAAGAAATCAAGCCCAGAAAAAGAAGAAAGTCAAATTATGAAACTATAAGTGTGTGTGTGTGTAATCTTTTATATGGACAAAAAGGTAACAGGCAAATCGGCGACGGCGCATATTTTGTGGCGGGTGTTGAAACGTGGAGGAAAATGGCGAATTTTAGGAGATCGATATTTGTACGTGTTTATGTATTTCTGCGAGATTTTTAACGTTAGAATCTCAGCTGTCAGCCAATAAAATCCAACGCTTTTGGACAAGAAATCAACAGAAATACTGAAAATGTAAACATAAACCCAGTAATCAATTTATAAAAAAAGTCAATATATTATAAGCTCAAATGCATCAAACAGAAGGGGTAAAAAAAAAGGAGATCTGAAATGAAGTTACCTCAGCTGCGAGGTATTCAAGGACGGCAGCCATGTAAACCGAAGCTCCGGTACCGACCCGTTGAGCATACCGACCCTTCTTCAAGTACCGTCCAATTCTTCCAACCAAGAATTGAAAACCGGCTCTGACTAACCGGGTCACCGGCTTCTTCTTTGGGCCTCCGCCCTTTCTCCCTCCGGCACCCTTCTTGATTTTTCCCGATTCCATGAAACAATGATTCTAACCCTGGAGACGAAGTAATTATGTTTAAATATGCATTGATAAGACTGGTAATTGATTCGGCCTGCAACCATTGAAATCGGGTTGTGATTTTATAGTGAAGGAATCTAGTTCTGGAAGTGGGACGGTAGTAACTGCTGGATTTACATGTACAAAATAGGTGAGGATCTTTTTGGAACCTCCTCATGCGGAGGCTGGAAAGGGTGAAAGCCTCCGCGTGCGGAGTTTTTGCCTCCGCATCTGCCTCCTATTTTTTTTTTTTCGCCAGATTTCTCCATATCTCTTCACCTCAATTCCTCCACTCATGTCTCCAGTTGTGAAAAGACGTCAACCTCAAGAAAAAAAAAAAAGCAAATGTAAAGAAAAAGCAAACATGGTACGCGACGGGACAAATGTGGACGAACACAAAATTAAAATATAAAAACATGGTACAAAATGGAGAAGAATTCACCGATTTCAATAAAAGGTGCAGACCGGAGATGGAAAGGAGAGCGTCGTCGCCGTTTGAGAGTTGAGGTGAGAAATGCAGCATGATTCGAACTCCGTTTCAAAAGCAGCTTGACTGCAAATATGGGCTCTTGCCGACCGGAGATGGACATGATCGCGCCGTCTGCCGCTTGAGTCATCGCCGATTGAGAGTTGAGGCGAGAAAGGAATTGATAGGAAATATGTTAGAATTGAATTTGAATTTGGTCTGCAGCTAACGCGTTTTTTCTTTCTTTTCTTTACTTTTCTTTCTTTTTTTTTTTTTTTTCGCCCTTCCCTTGGGCGGGAAATTGGAGCAGCATCTTAGATCTTAGTCGGGAATACTGTGCAGCTATCCTTCTTTAATATAGTATAAGATAAGATTTATTCAGCTCCCGTGAGATGAGTTCCTCTTTCTCAAAATCTTTACTGATAAAGCTGAATGAAAAGAAAAGGAAATTGATATGCTTAAGATGGGCATGATGCACCTTACAGCCAAATTCTTATCCTCACAGCAAGTGGATTCAAATAAAGTTGATTGATTACGTAACAGAAGAAGAAAAGAATAGGAAAACAGAATAATAAGTCCACCTCCATTATTGCATTATCTCGCTCAGCAAAAGCGCAGCAACACAACCTTGAAAATTTTTTAATTGTTTATCTACTTCAACGTTTTGGGGGATAAAGCCAAGACCAATGTAGTCAACTAACCGAGATATATAAAATACAACTCAATTTTCTTTTTGAAATCCTAAATCCAAGATATAATGAGGAAAATTGTATCATTTCATCAAAATGGATATCATCTTCTAGCTAGCTAAGCAGAGAAATGTGCTGGTGAGCATTGACTCATGAGGTGGAGCAACTGACAATTAGGTTAGAGCCTCAAGAGTTCTAAGCAAATTCTTCACATTATTTAACCATGTTCCGAAATTGAGGATTAATTGTTAGGAGTCTCCATGAAACTTTCTTCGAGTTTTTTTACTTATAATTACTTTTATTTAATATGAGCTAGCATTTAAAAAAAAAACAACAATTCTCTATAGGTATGAATTGAAAATAGTTTTGAAATTAATGAAAATATAAAACAAATTATAGACTTCTTTTTCTTAATACATTATATAAGAGTATCCAGTTAATGACAATAAATTCAACTGACACGGCAGTAGCTTTTTAGAATCATCACCGAGGTGCATTTTTGCTCACGTGTCGTGTTCGTGTTCGATTTAACAAAATCAGGCTACCGATTTATTAATAAACTCTAGTTCTTGAAACAGTCAAAACAATTACATAATTAACAATAAAGGTCCGTTCAGCACAAATCCGGATGTCCATTCAGCAGGGACCTCTTCGTCCTTGCTGAACGAACATTATGGTCCGTTTCTGAATGGACCTAGCATGGAAACTTCAATTTCGTGGCTTCAGGCGTGATTGAGGGTTCTGGTTTAGGGATTTTGATTTAGGTTAATAATATAAAGGCGTATTTGTTTGGTGATCATCACAATGCTTATATACGTTTACAGTTATAGATTTTTGAAAGTAAGAAATTGAAAACAGCAATAGTACCTTATTGAAGAAGATCTGGCTACTGTAGAGCGCGATATAAAATCACACTTCGCTAACACCCAACATCTGCCCAACATTACTCCGCATGGAGCACATATGGGTCTCCATCAATTTGGAGCGATCGTCAAGATTCCCTATATATGCAGTGTATGTGTAGAGGAGGAATTCACGAGAAATATTGTATAAATGAGAGGACAAGTGGAGAATGGAGTAAATAACGAGGTATGAGAGGTAGAGTGTACAAATTGAGAAGAAAAAGATGATTTGCTTGGAGTAAATAATAAGGTATGGGAGGTAGTGTGTACAAATGGAGAAGAGAAAGATGCTTTGCTCGGCTAACGCGGCTCACTCAACTCGGCTCGGCTTAGGTGGCCATTTGGCTTATGAATAGTAAACACAGAGGTGCCTCTTTTTATATAGTAGTGATAACAGCTTGGTCGTTGATGATCCCAATATCTAAGAGCAACCCAACCAGATATCCTGAGGATGTAAGGCAACATTTAATGGGACTCCCCCAAGATGTCCTCGGGTTATACCCTCCTCGAGCTCGGGAACCCGAGCTTCATTAAGATCTCTCTCTAAGACAAGGCTGGTCCTACTCCAAAAAGGAAAGTCCTACTATTATCATGACACCTCATCCTAAAAAGTCTCTACCACCAGAATTCTATCATAATCCAAACACATGGGCAATACGAAACCAACTACATTACAACTTCCAGTTGCACTAGGACTCCTATAGTCCTACTAGGAGTCCTCTACCTAACTCTATAAATACATCATTCTCATCAGTTATTAAGGTATGTTTTTCCACACAATTTACAGCATAATCTATTTTCACAAATCCTCTCTTTGACTTAAGCATCGGAGGGGCGACGAGAACACACTTCGACGCCTTTGTTTCATGTACCGTAAGACCTCGTTCGTGCTCCTTCTCAGTCGTCAAGCTCGAAAGTCGACAAGTACGATTTTTGGTAGGGTTTTCATTTTATGTGTGATCAATTAGGTTTTCAATCAGTATGCTTAACAACGTAAATTATTATTTTGATTTAATCAAAATTAATAAATTGAATTTCCTTTAAGCTTATTATTAATTTAGACACGTTGTCCCAAAATGACATCTAACAATATATCAAGATAATAGATACGACAGACAATATCATGTGATTTGACAAAATCAAATTTGTTCATTTATCGTAAAAAGTTAAATCATTTCGTCAATATGATCTGATCAATTACTAGATATGATGTATATCAATCTCTATTATCAATCATATCTTTCATCCCACTATTAAATCAATATTCCTTTCGGCTTGTGAGTATACATTGGACAATGATTTCTTATCAACTTAATTGAGCGAAATGTAGATCATAATCTCTTACTATTTAAGTGATAAATCATCTATTGACCATTCATAACTTCACATAATTTTTGACATGTCCGAACAATGTCACACTTGCGACTTTTGGTCGAACAATATCCAACGATCACCAAAGCACGATTATCCCCATATAAGGTACTATGATGACCTCTCAAGTCAAATGACCATAGGCACTATTAATCTTTGTCGACAGCTTCTGTTGAATTATGTGTTAATGCGCGACGTATGAGACACTATTAAAAATGTTGAATTATATGTTAATGCATAACACATGAGACACTACTTACAGGGTAAAATCAATGTTCTAAAAAGCCCGTTTAACCGTGCTCAGGAGCCTCCTAAGCACAAGACTCGGGCAAAACGTCACGCCTTGACAATGAGCATCCAGTGGCGCTTTATTAAACTTTTTTCTTTTTTAATATCATTTTATTTAATTTTAATTTCAAGTTTTTAAATAATTTTATCTGTATAAAAGTAAAAAAAAAAATGTGAAAAAAAGTTAGAAAATTTCAAGTAGGATTTGTCTGGTTGAAACGAGTTTTTGCATTTCGAAAACTTGAAAATTGTAAAATTAACTAATTGTAGAAAATATTAATTAAATATAGTATTTTATAATTTTGGATGTTTGGTATGTATTATTTTAATTATTATATGATTTTTAGAATGATTAAAAATTTAAAATAATATTAAAAATAAAAAAACGTTTTTTTAAGTCTAGGCTTTGCCTAGAGTCATAAAACTTGAAAGTTGACCTCCACGTCTAGTCAAGCTCTATATTTTTTTAGAATACTGGGTAAAACAAACAAACAAATAAATAAATAATGTATAGTTTAAATAAGAATAGTTATATTCAACAGTTCATGTTGCACTATATTTATTTCAATTAAGGTCCTTAATCTTAATTTACTATCACATTTGTGTATCTATTTTCCACTACATTTTTATTCTGACCTTCAATTAATGAGCATATCTTGTCCCCAATAACAATTTACGTCCATGTATTCGGTTAACGTGCTTTGAAATAAGAGGCTAATATTTCTTTTACTTTATATTTGATGCTTTTTGTTTTACAGGGTTAATATTTTCATTCGTCATTCTTATATATCTACTCTACTCTAATTATATCTCTATTAATTTTTTTTAAAAAAAATATTATATTCATCCACATTACATTCTAACATAATCCTTATTAAATTCATTCATTTAAACATTATATATCCATACCACTTTTATATAACTATCACTATCTAGATTTATCCCTATTACAATTTTAAAATTTTAAAACTAGTATATTGTGATAGCCTAAAAATATCTAATGAAGAGATGAGTGAATTGGTTTTTAATTTATTTTTTTCGAAATGTAGCCTTAAATCAATCAAGTTAAGAACAAGTTGATCAATTAATACTCATAAGCAACTAAAAGTAAGTAGATCAATCAAATAATAATTATAAATGAAATAACGACTAAGGAGAAGGGTAAAGATAATGCAAGCGATATAATTGTGGGGGTTCGTTTCAAAGCAATGATCTGTGTCCTTCACTATCAAGTTCTCTAGCACGAGCAAGCATTTTCACTATATTTATTGACTCGTGGTGTAATCCAACCATTTACAACGCTTTTGGAGACTTACAAACAAGAAGCATCGATTCTTATACACTATTAAGCTTTGCAAGACCTCAATATGACCAAAAAATTTAAAGACGAATGATTTTACAATTTGAAACTTTTCTCTTAATAAATAATATATACAAATTAAGTACAAAGAGAGAAATATTCTGACACTTAAATGAATAGTAATGAATGAAACTCAAGTGTCAGATGATAAAATTTTGATGAAAAATATGATTTTCAAAAGTTGATTTCATCAATCAAAAGTTTCAAAGTAAGTATTTGAAGAATTAAATAAGATGTAAGCTTAAAGAGTTATGCTCAAGTATTTCTCACTTTAATACTTTTAAAGAATGTTATAATGAATTCAAGAAGTATGTGTATTTATCGAATTCAAAACGACAAAAAATCTACGAGTTCGAATGACTCGTTTAGTTGACCAACTTTTATCAGGATGACCAATATAGCCGTTTGTACAATAAAAATCAGAGATCAGAAAAAAGCATGAAAAATATTTTTCCATGCTTTTTTTACGTTTTGGCCCCGTTTATTCCGATTCGAAGGTTTTGAAAAGTATGAACTTTTGAAAAAGTATTTTTAACTAACT